AGTAAAAATAGTATTCTCCACGGACGCGTTAAAGCGGATGGTGAGTTAGGTTAATAGAGACTGTAATTATTTTTACAGGAAATGAAGACATTATAGAATTGATAGTACGGTCTAATGATTATTGTCAGTTTCACGTTCTCTGAGAGCGACGTAGGACGATTACGTGTTACACTGATGATATCAATCGGCAGAAAGTGTATTACACCTACAATGGCAGCAGTCTAATTACTATACAGCGGTATTTTTTTACCGCAAGAAGTCAGTGTACCTGTTTGCCCGTTTCTGCGCCGTGAAAAAAATTCCTCGAGCAGAGAAACGCTACAAAGAGCTACAAAGAAAAAGTGTCTACCAGAAAAAGGGACTCTTCGCGCCTGATCACGTCAACGATTAACCCAAATATGTCTGTATACGCTTCTAAAAAGAATAATCGCTACCTAATTTTATTTTGCCATTTCATGGCGTTCTTTCAGTAACCAAAAAAACTTAATTAATATATTTAGAACATAAATAAAAGAAGAAGTCGAACTTTTCTAAAAAAAAACTGCCACAAAATTCGAGGCTGTTTAATCAGTACACCGAGTTTACTTTACTTAAACGTACAGATTCATATTTTTGAGAATATGCTAAAGATTATATATTTTGAATTATTTCATATATTATACATACTCGTGTATATATAAACGCATAAAAATGGACAAGAATAAGTTACACCTATGCTTTCGAAAACTAAAGTCAGCCCAACGTCTCTTTATTGATTATTAATTCTACAAACTCGTGAAGCGTTTGATCAAGAAATGAAAAGGTATTTCTCTATTAAGAGGGGGCAGAAACCTTTCTAAAATAAAAAGGGGAGGAAGAAAAGGAGCTGTACCTCGCCGCCGCGACCCACGCTTTTACCACGCCGCGCAATACGAGTAGAAAAATTTCCAAGCTATTACGGTCCGTTTCCCGGAATCTCTGGCGCGTTATCGTCGTTCGAGCAATATCGAACCGCGTTCCGATGCGAGTCGCGATAACGATGCCGCGGCGGTACTTAATGGGTCGAGAGAACGCGCGATCGATCGCGCCGTGGAACATCGAAAAACGCAAAAAAANAAAAAAAAAAAAACAGAAAAAAGATCAAAGAGGAGGGAGGGGGGAGGAAAAAGAACAACGAGAAAAGAGAAAGACGAACGAAATGGAGAGGACGGAGGAGTCAGTGAAGCGTGCCGCGTTAAGTCAGACTTCACCTAAAGCTCGTTTTATCGGAGTTCTATAAATTCTGGCAGCGCGGCGCGTAGGCTCCTACGGTGGATTCGCACGAAAACACAGTGCCGCTAATTTCATAGGAGCCACGGATGATTTATGGTCGGCTGCAGCGTTCCGTTATTGCACCGGCCGATGGAACAAGGATACGTCTCCGCGGCGCTCTCACCGTAAATGTCGGCCGGTGACGCTTTAATAGGCAGCCCGACCTTGACTTTTAAGCATCGTAATTAACGAATCGGCGACACGCTGTGAGAGACGAGGAAGGATTGCGTTGCACGATGGGATGTGTTCGATTCGTTGGCGATTCTACACTAGCCTGTGCGTTTGGAGCTACGCGATTAGAACGTGTGTAATTTCATTCGCAAGTATGGGCAACATTCGTGACGTGACGTGCGCTGTTCAAAGTGATTAAAATTAACAATAAAAGACAGTATTTTCACAGAAAACAATGAAAGCGAAGTGGTTCTAAAAACAAACTTGATAGATAGATAATAATTACAATACCCAATTCTCTAAGAAAAGTAAGCGAGAAATTCTGCTGACAATGGATACATAATAAAAACGATGATATAATATAATCCTATTTATGCTGAATTCACCTCTTGAATTCAATCAAAAGTTTACCCTTCGAGATATTAATTACGCCACAGAGAAATAGTTCTATAATAATTTGACTATGATCGTCATCTTCTCGAAACATACAGTTTCTTACGAAACTCGAACGCCACATGAAATATGTTACAAAATTTCATAGTGTATAGTAGTAAAACATACAGATCACGAAGTTGAGAAAGATGTATCGTACAATAAGTGACAATAAGTCACAATTGGACTATGTATTTAACCCCGCTGTACACCAATCTCTTAATTGCACATCAATTTTTTAAATATTAATGTATCTTCTGTAGATGTACATTTCGGAACGTTTCATACAACAGATAATTACGCAGGCAATGAAAATCATCCGTGATAAGTGTTGTCGAACACTTTCGCGAGCCATTGTAGATAAAAATATCTCGACACAAAGGGAACGCAAGGAGCGTTCTTCAAAATCCACGATCGGATAGAAGTATCGACGGCTCGCCACGGCAAATCCCAAGATGGAAATATCGATAAGGGCCGTGTCACTCACGCGACGCTTCCACCCTCTCTGGCCTCGGTTACTCTATGAAAACTCCACGTGCAGACTTAGCTGCACCCATCCCTACGTCTCGTCCATCCTTCACCCTCTGCAACCGCTTCCTTTTTTATCTCGCTCGTCCCTTTCTCGGTCTCTCCTTCGACCCCTGACGACTCATCGCCGCGCGGAACCACCCCTCGCGTCCGCCGATCCACTCGCACGCCATGGGGTAGTTTAGCATCTCAGCCCTCCGAAAATCGAGCACCCCTCCTACGGCGTCACGGTGGTTCTTCTGTCTTTTTATTTATTTCACGTTCGTCGCTCGAGAGAGAGTAAGAGAGAGGCAACGTCGTAATAACAAGACCACGATTGTTTGTGTTACAAAAAATTTGTCATATCTGTTGGGATTTATCAATTTGGGCAGTGGTATATTAGTTCTCAGTTTTAATATCGTCTGAATTGAATTTCTGATTTTATAGACACGTGTTTACTGTTTGCTAGCTTTATTCATTCTAGAACTTTCTTCGTTGTACATACCGTATAATATATACAAAGTCATCCACATCTACGTACATGTACAACTCTCACACTTTGACACGCTTGACATGTACGCGTATAGGTTGACAGTTACGCTATAACAATACCACGTGATTTGTTTTGGACATTTCGTGGAATATTCCTTAGCAATCCAGACGAGAAAAAAAAAAAAAGAGAGAAACGGAAGGGGACAAAATATATCGTTCTCAGAAGGAGCGATTCAATTACTCCGACGACCAATGAACAATCGTAAACGCTCTAAACGTCGCGTCCAAGGCGAGCCACTTCTAGCCAGCACGATTTTCATACAAATCGTACCGCGGCGACTGTTACGCGACTGTTATTTCATCATCATCAAAGGAAGCAGCGAGCGAGGAGAAGCAAACAAAAAAAAACGGTGAAGAAAAATTGTCGTGTTGTTATGTGGATCGCGGCCGATGACGGAGGTGGAAAAATCGATTCTTGCGAACGCGTCGAGTTAATTGCCGTTGCTTTATCAGCCGCACTTTTCCCCCGGCTGAATTTTGCATTAAGCTGTACCGACGGCCGGGTTCGAGTATTCCCTCCGTCGTGCAAGTTTCTCGAGCCTGACTATCCAAACGTTCGCGCCAGCGAGCGCACACTCGCCGCAACGTGCGAGCGTACGTATAGACTTTGATTGAAATATTACCCGCGTGTCAGCCGGCTGGTAAAATCCTGTAATTACGATAGCGGACTATTAATGATTGTTTACATCGTTACAGCGCGAAAATTACTAGACGCAAGTTAGATCACAAGGGGGCGAGCGGCGACGCCGTAATAAACGCAGGTCTTCTTACCTCTGCTTGTAAGGAGAAGCCCTTGAAACGACCGCGAACCATAGACCTATCTTCCTCTTCCGTCGTCGCAAGCGTTCCCTCGTTATCTCGCGACAAGTTTCTTACCAGATAATAATTACCAGAGATGTTTCGCATCGACATTGGAATACCGCCGGCTGAGAGAGCTCGGCCGAAAGTTCTCGGCCCTCTCGAGAATTCTCGAGTTCTCGGAGAGAGAAGGAACTCGATCGAACGTCGAGCGAAACAGAACGGCTACGAGCGACACGAGAACCAGCATATTGTTCGCGGCATCGTCCACCCCTCGGCCGAGACGCCTAAATGATCATTAATTAAGCCGCCGTTTCACCGTGCCGTAATCAAGCAAAAAGCGAACGTTCGCTTTTAGCAGGTACCGATGCTCGCGTAGTTTCAATGGATATTTAAGGGCGACAATGTTTACGGTGTTCGTTTGTTCGTGGTTCATCCTTTCGGAGCTAACACAGAGCCAAAGGGAGTATTAAGGAGGATCTTACAGGGGAACATAGAATGAATGTAGCTTTCAAAGAAATATTCGATCCGTATTTTTTTTTTTTTTTTTTTTTTTTTAATCGGAAACGGGCGATGTTGAAGGGGTGAAACTACAGCCAAAGCGCGAAACATATTTTGTCAAATATCTCGGAAATTATTGTAGGAATACCGGCTGAGTTGCCAATTTTGTAAGAATAAAATAAAAGGATATTTTATCTACGTTATGTTAAATAGTGTTTGTTAAATAAGGATTGACAGGATAAAGAGTCCCGAAATTAATGTAATGGTGTATACCGTTTTGCAAAGAAACAACATATTTAAAAAACCGTGTTTTCGACAAGTCGTTAGTTAAAGTATCCAGCATTGTTTGAAATTAAAATGCTCCAAATTCGCTGTATTATTTTCTTGTCGCGTCTCTTCGAACGAGTAACGAAAGAATCGTATTTTCCTCGAGAGATTCGCGCAGATATCCACGTTAATGCACGATAAACATGTCGAGCAATTGTAATTTCTAATTGCAAGCTTTCATTAGGACAGCGATTACACTAATTAGCGGATCTGGTAACCTTTATTAGCAGGCCGCGTGACTTATCCAACGCGACGTACTTGAATTTAAACAACCTTACAAAGATTTACAATTCGATATCACGCTTGGTGCCCCGCTGGAATATTCACGCTCTGGTAAAGCCCTCTCTCGTCTCGCCAGTTTCTCGATCGCGAAAATCGCTGCTAAACGAGAGAAATCAGGGGACAACTCTTTTACGTTGCAGAAAACGGGCTGCCAAGGAGATTGCGGACGGCGTACACGAACACGCAGCTGCTCGAGCTAGAAAAAGAATTCCACTTCAACAAGTACCTGTGCAGACCGCGAAGAATCGAGATCGCTGCGTCGCTGGACCTCACGGAAAGGCAGGTAAGAACGAATTCGACAACAACGAACTCTCGAAACACGCCCCTTCCTTCCCCTTTCGTCGAAAGAACCGCCGTTTCACAGGCGTACAAGCAAAAACGTTTCTCGTTTCCGCTGATTTCAGGTGAAAGTCTGGTTTCAAAATCGAAGGATGAAACACAAGCGTCAAACGCTGAGCAAAGAGGACGCGGACGAGAAGGACGGCTCGACGTCCGACGGGATGGAGAAGTCGAAAGGCGAGAAGATGCTGGCGATCGACAGCGACGAGAAGAAGAGCTGCCACAACTGTGATATATCTAGCGTGAGCGACGTAGGCAGCACCCTCTCCGGTGACGTGACAGAATTAACCTCGTCTGGTCGTCGAAGCAACAATAACAACAACAACAACAACAACAATACGTCGACAGCGACGAACAACAACAACAACAACAACAACAACAACAGCAATCCAGCTTTCAACGCGAACAGCAACGGAGCAAGCAGCGTCGGCAGTACGAACAGCGTGTCCAGTTCGTTCGAGAAGATGATAGCGGACGATGACTCGAGATCTCAGGACGGTAGCGAGGTAACGTCACCGAGCGTTGCTGGCAAGAAATTGTCGAGCGACGTCCGGGTGAAAGTGGAGAGCGGGCACAAGAGTCCGAATCCAGGAAAACAGCAAATCTCCGTCAGCAAGAAGTCCCCGTCGGCGAGTGCCAAGGAACTCTGCTCGGTGAATAGCAACGGTGTCTTGCTGGCTATGCCCGATTCCACCGTGAGCACGCCCGTTCTGCCCGGTCAGAATTCCACCAGAAGTCTCACGCCGTCGTCGACGCCTGGCACTCCGGTGTCCGTTCAACTGCAACAAGGAAGTCCTTTGGGAATTCAGGCCACGCACGCAGCCTACATGCAAAGGCCAAGAAGTTCACCGTCGTCCACAAGCTCCGTGGCTGCTCCCATGATGCACGGCTCGACCAACGCAGGCACGATGTCTCCTCACGGCGGCAGGAACATGAACAACAATCAGCAAACGCACTTCCAACAACAGAGCGTCTACCAATCAACGTCCGCCATCGACTACAGAAACGGAGTACCCAACAGACAAGCTGTCCCAGCAGCCGCGCAGCAAACGCAGTCTCAAGGCAGCTATTGCTCCAGGGATACCTATCAACAACCTCGAATCTCTTACCCAGGCGATGTCCACCCTTTGTACGCCAGGCAGAACCAAGTTTTAGGATCTCGAGTGGGCCACCACGTTCGCGCAGCAACTGGCGCCGCCTCCAGGACGATGTACAACGCCAGCATGCAGTTCCACCAGCAACAAAACCAATACGCCAACACCGGAGGAGAGTACAACGGCTATCCTCAGGCAGGCCCACCCTATCACGCGTCCTATCATCGAACCATGCAAGGCGGCAGCGCCTACAACACCAGCCAAGGTTACTCCGCACAACACGACCAAACAACCGAGAACTACATGGCACCAACGGGCAACTACGGCTACCCGAGCAGCGGCAACTATCACGCCACCAGCGAGAATCTCGCGTCTCACGGCCATGCCGCTGTTTCCGTTCAGACCGGTCAACACTACTACAACGACATCCAACAGCAACAGCAGCATCAACAGCAACACACGGCCGAGGGCTACGTGACCCATCAACCTCCTATGCATCCCAGTTCCGGTGACTATCGGGCAGGCGCCAAGCAGTGTCACCCGAACGCCTACTACGACCAACAAGCCAGTCAACTGCACGTCCATCAAGGCGGCGAGGCGTCCAGCATTCCCAATAGCTACGTTTCCTCGCCAGACCCGTTCCCGGCGCCGGGGATGACCACCACGGCGACTGCGATCGCAGCAGCCACCGCCGCAGTGATCACGCCGCCGGGAAGCGCCGCCCAGGCAGAAAGCAACACCGACTCCTACAATTACAGCAACTTCTACGCGGAACCGGTGCACACCGCAGCCCCGCCACCCTCCGCGGACAACAGCAACAGCTCGTCGGACTTTAACTTCCTCACAAACCTGGCCAACGACTTCGCGCCGGAGTACTATCAGCTCAGCTGAGTTCACGAGACCGAGAACCCGTGTCAGCTGGACTGGAGCGACGAGCAGTGTCTCCTGAACGCGTTGTACTGATCGGCAGACTGGTGGATTCGGTCGCAGAGCGTGATTCGATTGAAAGTGACGTGAAATAGGGACATTTTTCGTTTGAATCTAGATTGGAACGAGATTTGGAAGTTTGAGTAGCGAAGACTGTGTTTGTATCTTTCCTAGGGGGAGAAGAATCTCGCTGACGAGAAACTCGAATCGCGGTTCGGAAGGTGGCGATTCGCGGCTGACGCTTCGATCGTGGACAGCTTCTGTTCAGACTACGACCGACGTGCGGCTAAATTCTCGACGTGCCCGGGAAACGATTTTTTTTCGGTCGTGAAACGTCCTCTGCCTCTTCGAGTCGAAAACAAAAGTTCGTGCGCGACGCACTTTTCAAGTATAAACGAATCCACGACGACTCGAGGATGTAAATAACGTCGAATGGACACGAAGAAGGAGAGTTTCGAGCAAGAGGAGTTCAAAACAGAAACGTCGAGAGACCGTTTGACTGGATGATGAGAAACTTGAATAAAATGGAAACGAGAAACGCTTCGAATGATCATCGTGCCGGGCCTCTAGAATCATCTCCGTCCGTAACCAATGATTGCTTCACCTGTGCCGACGAACGCAACTGACACAAGTTGAGAACGCGTCGCAAAGGCCGGCCCAAGTGATTTCAAACGATGCGATACGAAGATCGACGTGGCAGAGATACATCTTGCGTGTGTGTGTGTGTGTGTGTGTGTGTGTGTGCTTGTGCGCGTGTCTGTGCGTGTGCGTGTGTGTATGTGTGTGCGCGCGCGTGTGTGTAAATAAATTAGAAACAAAGAAATAGAAGAAAAATGAAGAGGTGCAAGTGCAATCTTTCTAATACGTAACGATTTCTATCGTGCAGTAGATAATTCCGCGATGATCGGACCAGTCTCGAGCCGAGTGATTCGAGTTCGTGTGTGTGTGTGTGTGTGTGCGCGCGCTCAACGCGACGCCATATTGTCGCGCGAACGATCCGCCGAAACTACTTTCGTATCTCCTTGCGAATCATCGTAACACGTTCGCCAGACAGTCTGAGAAAGAGAGAGAGAGAGAGAAAGAAAGAAAAGAAACCGCGAAATGTTTCGAGTAAAAGTGAAACGCGTTTGGAGAAGTGACACGTCGAAGGGTAGCAATTCACGAGCAATAATTGTTAATGAAATAACATGAATGTACATAGGCGGACCCATAGCGCGAGGCGAGGATTAATTTAACACGAGGAAGAGAGTAACATCGACGAGTGACTGAGGACGACGGTCGTGAGAACGACTGCTCGCAAGTGGGGGACGATGAGAAACGCACTCGTAGCGTTTCCAAGCAGGATGAGAACGTCTCTCCCGTGAAAAAAATGACGGAACACAAATGTCGGAAGTTTCGCCTCGTTCGGACAATTATTCCGAACGTCTTTCCAAGTTGGACGTCGCGAAAGAGTTCGAACGTCGATGAGGCTTTCACAGTTGACGAGCAAACCCACGCCGCGTTGTTGTACTCTTTCGACGTTCGTTCTCGATCCTCCTCCTCCCCCCTCCCCTCAAAAAAAAATAGGAGGAGAGACACGTTTTCTCGTTGTTTCGCGTTTCAGAGTATACGAGACGAAGCATACACCGTTTTCGAAGAGAGCTCGATCATTGTTCCACCAGAATCGTCGACGTTGTTTCGTCGTTGTTTCTACTAGGCTCGGCGAACCGGGCAGAGATGTTCGCGTCAACGGAGAAACAATAGTGTAAAGTGGTTACGAGATTAGGTCACGTAGCTAGCGACGCGTAAAGGAATCCTGATTCCCACACTCGACTCGACAGCGAGAATATATTTAACGGTGCGCCAGTACGTTGCATCTGGTTTGTATAAAGGATAACTAAATAATAAATGGCATTTAGGGAGCCGCGAATCGTTTACACGAGGACTTCTTTGTACATAGATAGCGCTTACGATAATCGTACATACGGGACATACATATGTACACGCGAACACGTATGATCACACATATACATAGGACACTTGAAGAATACACACAACAGTTGTTCATTCGATTCTGAAATGTATGACTAACCATTCGCTCCTCCGAAGAAAAAAAAAATGGAAAAAGCTACAAAAAGAGAGAGAGAGAGAGAGAGAGAGAGAGAGAGAGAGAGAGAGATAATTAAGAAGAAGGCGATCATCGTGTACATTCGTTCATACAAGATCGTAAAACACACGGAATCGTTTCATCCTGTTCTGGCAGCTCGCGTTTTCGTTCGATCCCCACCCTTCCACGAATTATGCAGTAAAACCGATCATAAATGGAAACATGGAAATGGATGATAATAAAAGATATCATTATAAAATTAAACAGGATTCGTCGTTACCTTCATTCTTCCCACTTTCTTCTACGTTCTTTCCTACACTAGTCAATATCGAATATATGATTATTACTTTGCAATTAAGTTGTTATATTTGACATTTTCTCGGTACACCGACGAAGCACAACAGCGAAGCAACGGTCACACATCAGTTCGAAAGACGTGGATACGTGTAACATTCAAGTTACACAGGGTTAACACTCTCGTGAGTAACGTGCCGCGCTTCGAAGCTAAATATAATTTCGTTTACCACATTTAAACCGCGGCAGTCACGAGCGTTCACGATTAAAAGAAAGATCCCGCGCTCGATTCCCTTATGAGAAAATAATTATACCTTCGTTTTACCCTGCTGGCCGGCGGACGGGTTGCTTTTAATACACATGTTCAACGATCGCGCCCGGGATTGACGGGTTTTCGTATCGAGAAAACGGGGCGAATCTCGCGCGAAGGGGCTGCAGGAGACCAGCACGGATCTTCGAAGACAGCGCGCAATTTGCGCGCGCGAATCAATTTTAATAGGGTGATAAATGCGGCGCATCGCCGCGGTAAAATATGGATCGAGCACGCCGCCTGAGAAAGAGAGAGAGAGAGAGAGAGAGAGCCGCGCTAAAAATAATATTTCAGTTCGATTGCTCTGATATTTCGAGTCATCCATCATCGTCGCTTCCTTCGCCGACACGGAGCTCGCAGGAAACGCCGAACCGAATACATATATTTCGGCCTGCTCCTCCTTCTGCCAGCGCAACCCTCGAGAAGGGGTCCTCGAAAATTCAGACGTTCGTTCGCGCGACCTTGCCTGATGATTACCACCGTATCACTGACAATAGGAGAGGATACTGATCAACGAGAATCGACGATGTGACAGAAACGACTGACTGCAATGCATTCTGAATGTATTAGATAATTAGAAAACTGGCGGATTTGATCATAAATTCAGATTACTTCGCATCTGTTTTGTTTTTCAAAGGAGAAGCAACGCGAGAACTCGAATACATGGGTGTTATCTTATTGTTAATTGTTGTATAATACTTTGGCCAGTCACCTGCTGTCACGTGTCGTTTAAATATAATCCACGCACTGCCGCTTTTAATTCATAATACTGTCTTTGAGGCGAATGTCTGTGATTTATGAACGTGACTAGAAAAATGTCACGAGACAATTAGAAGATCGTTGACATGAAGTTCATTGGATCAATCAAGTACACGTTTCTACAAATTAATACGTCGTACGACACTGTAATAAAAATTGTCTTTCGAAACAATCAATTCAGAGCAACAAATGCAAGGGGACAAGTATGGAAAACGATCCTCCAATTATCCCGTAAACGTAACTGCACACAGCACACATCTTTTAATATCTATTATTATACACAACATATATATAATAACGTGTATCCAATTATCCATCAGCAGTATCTAAACTACTCTACAGATATATATTTACCTATGTATTTTACAATTCACGCTCGGATTCTCCAGCGGATCCCTCAGAAAGAACGCACACCACGATCCTGAGATCCTCGCGCGCGATTATCCGATAAATCCGACCGCGAACGTTGCTTTCAAACGAAGTTGAGCTCCATGCGTTGGGAGCAATCGGGCCGATAGCCGAGTGCGTGAACTCCTCCGCTCGAGCCGGTGGCTCGGGTTTCGCGGGAAATCAGAGCTGGAGGCAGCCGGTCAGCCGGCGCGAGAGGAAAGGAGAGAAAGAGAGTAGATCTCTCGAATCGAGAGAGTCCCGTATGCGCGTTCGTAGACCGGACGAACGGCTGTGTCAGTGAAGAGACTGACAATGATGGATGACTGCGCGTGATGCGTGTGAGTCAAGCCCATACGATGCCGTTGCGCCGTACGAGCTCATATGTGGCCTCCTGTCCGAACGAGCCGACCGAACTGTTGCTATCGTTGCATCTGTGCAGAACACCCCACCGAAAACGCAACCCCCCCGATCAACGATCACCCTTGGCTCTTCTCCCCTTGCTCCCACCTCCCACTTTCTCTCTCTATCTATCTATCTCTGTCCCTGAAACGTATCTCTCATGGTTCAACTCGGTCCGGCTAATTTCTCGACGCTATTAACTTTTTCTCCGCGATGGAAACGCCGCCCTTCCGCCGGCTGGCCGGTCGGCTGGGAAAAAAAGGAAAGTGGAAAACACCGGGGAATCGCACTTTCGACGAATCCTTAGATATCACAGTTTTTGCCGGCGCGCTGCTGGCCTTCCTGCTTCTCTTCGTTCTTACTTGTACCTTTTTTTTTTTTGTGTCGATCTCTCCTCCACCCTTTCATTCCCGCCCGTTTCTTCCTCCACCTCCCCCTCCTCCTTCTCTTCCTGTTCTCTTTTGGAGAAAGATCCATCCACCGCGCGAGACGCGCAGTTCGCGAGGTGATTGTTTCGACGAAGCTTGAAATTGAAACCAGGAGGAGGGGAGGGGGCGAAAGAGCTGGAAATGGAAACTGCAAGGTACGTAGGAGTGTTTCGTTTCTACCTTCGCGTTGCAAGTGACTTTTAATGACAGACAGAAAGTTCAAAAGTGAGATTTTCTGAAAATCTGGAACAACGTATGATGTACAACTACCTCAGAATTTTATGAGCTTTTTCGAGTCGAGATAAAATAGGAAGAGTACACACAGGTAAGAACAATTAACTTTCCGAAAAGAAATTAGTTTATTTGACGCGAGCGT